TGCCTTCAGGGTTTGGCCTCACTGAATGCTACAGTAGATGCACTAGAGCGGTATGGCGCTTTGACGCCGAGCCCAACAGGGACCGAGTAATCGAACAACTTCACAAATACTGCATCGCTGAGGTTTCCGGTCCTCAGGCAATTGTCGGAGATAACCATCCTGGGGAAACTGTGCATCATCATGCCATTGGAGTTGAGACTGTGCAAAATAGTAAGGTATGTGATAGGCTACTAGTATCCATGGCACCTTGTAGATCCTACTGAGCGTCTGGCTGGGCTGTGCTTTGGACGGGGTACTCATCGCCTCCGCCCTCTCCTCACAGGATCCATTCACGATGCCTAGCATGCTAGTTATGAAAGAATGGAGACAGTTCGGGCGCAGTGCTAGATCAAGCTTCGAGACTAGGTAGGTTAGTTATCGTGTTATCGGGTGAGGTTCTGTGTCGCCTACAGGTCTCGTATGGACGCCGGGTCGTACTCGGAGCCGTTGATGCTCCGGAATCTTTTGCGGAGCTGGCTTGTGGCGTACTATCACTCAGGCGGGGCGGACGGCAGCGATCGGCAGAGCATTTTGAAGCACACTATGGAATTCTGCAGGTGAGTTTAGTTGTTCCTGTGGTGGGGATAGCCCTATTGAGAACAGGTCTACGAAATTGGCGGTGATACCTCAGCGGCTGACAAACATCATCATGACTGTCATGGATGTGAGCAATAGGCTATTAGGCCTCTTACAACCCGACACCTTGGCCCACAGACAAGTAGGTTGCTGAACGACCTCTTGATATCTCCGTCTATTTCTACACTGCGAGTCCGATTCTTTTCTACGCTATATGTCGAGGCTCTGCCTGACGCTCTTTCGATGTCCTGCGGTTGCAGATATCCTGTCTGCTTGAGCTACTGGGATTGGGAGATGACGTGGCCAAGAAGGAGGTGGTCGAGAGCCTGGAGAGTTTTGGTGCAGCAGACGATGCATTGATGCAAGTAGGTGGTTAGGTTGCCTCTTGTGGTTACCTTATTCCTCGCTAGGCGATGTTGTGCGGCGCGTTCATGCCCAACCTCATGGTGGGCCATCCAGGAAAGCCGTCGAGTGACTGCGAAGAGTCTCCTCTCACCCTCAGTCTTCAGATGGAAGTGAGTCAGCTCTTCTTCAGATCATCTTGAATCGATTGTATCGGTAACAAGCTACAGTGTCATGGTCTGCATAGACGGATTGCTATTAGAATGCTCTTCAAGCGGCCAATCCTGCTTGAGCGGCCGAGAGAGTTCACCACTGGTTCGGACCCTGCTCGAGTACTATCTTCGTCGGTTTCAGAATCCTACCGATGTCAGAGTGGCGGCACTACGCGAGGGTCTGATGTCCAGCGGTGTTCTGAGCAATAAAGACAGAGTTGCTATAGAAGCCACTCACACTGGGGTAGTCCTCCGAGCATCTCCTCGGCGGCGAGGCGAAGCAATGAAGCGTGAGAAACTCAATGATGATGAGGAGGAGCGAGCTAGGAAGCGGCGTGTGACTGCGGTGGGTACGACAGCGATGGATCAGGATCTGAAGGCATTGAATGAACTTGCCGAGGTGAGCTCTCGACGATATGATATCGGAGGTGTTGAATGATGTCTGCCAGATACAGTTTGATGGGCGAAGTGAAGAAGATGACGAGGAGAAGGAAAAAAGTAGTCGTGACTCCTATAGAGCGCAGAGTGGTGAGGTAATCCAGTGGCAGGTTGCGACAATACACTGGGGGTAACCTGGAACGATGCTGAGGATGCATGGGTTGTCAAGCGGAAGGAGGCTATAGGAGGTATACTAGCCTACATCACTTTCTCTATGACCCCTTTCTTCACAGGCAAAGACATAGTAATTCGAAAAGCCTTCGTGGCTGATGAGAATACGAGCATAGTGAAGTCCCGTATGGATGCTATTAATTGGTGATTTGCAGAGGCAACTTCAATTGATTGTACGTCCTACGTAGGTTCCTCGGAGGTTCGGCTGCTCTCGAGTTTCCAGCTGAGCTTAGCCTCTCTTTTCGAGGACGTTACTTCTGTATTGAAACTCCTTACTAGCGTGCTC